TACCATGTTCTGAATTATGGTGCTGAACACATTATGTTAATGAGGGATTAGGATTTTTAATGAGTTTACAAATATTCTAGAAACATGTTTCCAATATGTGCAACTGAAGTAGATAAATGGAAAACATATTTATCCATTAACAATTACAACACAACTCTATGAAGTATTGTGAATACCAACAGCCACTGTATTGAGTCATAATTATCAGTATTTCTTTCATGAAACAGCAACATAACATGAACAGATGTTAAACCATGACAATGTTAAAATAAGTCAGTTTCTATGGATATCACACAGTTCATCATCATTCTTTCACAACTGTAGACGCTGAAAGACAAAGTCTATAAATAACAGCAGCTCCATGACTGCTGTCACCTCTTGTTCTACTGTGCTCTACCAAATAAATTGAGATCAGAAGTTGTTCTATTTCAAAATGACACCCAATGACACTGCTCCTTCTTTTTTCTTTTTTTTTTTTGCTTCTTTGTCTGGATTATTTTCAGTAGTGCTGCTTCTCTTATCACCGGTGCACGGTGCACTCGATCACAGAACAGCAAACGTCCGCCTCTGGAACCAGTGTTTGGTTTGTCTCTTCTGTGAGAACATGGCAGTGCAACATGTCGGGCCCCATGGAAGAACACAGGTATTCACAATTCTAAGGTCATGGAAATGACAAAGACTCTTGTTGAAGACAATGAAAACACAATTATGAATGTGTTCAATGAGAAGATCCCTGGACCGTTTGTTTTGTGCTTTGCATCCTCATTCCTTCCAGTCTGCCTTTCCTCTGCTCTGATGTTTTGCTTTTGTTTGGACCTCGGATTGTTGTTTGCTTTTGAATTTGACTGTCTTGATTCTTGTGTTTTAACTTGAATTTAACAATGTGTGCTACACTCTGATGTGAGGAGAACATGCAAGGAAGTGTCCAAAAAGCTGTGGCCGAAGGACATAATTACACCCCTGATTCAGCCTTCACCCCAGCATGCAGCCTGACTGATGAGCTTCCTGTGCAACCCAAGAAGAAAGTGTGGATTATGAAGAGCTTGAGTCCCCAAGTAACCCAGCTCCCAAGACCTGAAGCATCCAGTGACTGCGAACCCAAGCGGCTTAGCAACCTGTGACGGCCACTACCCAGGTCTTTGATTGACACCAATCCAGACCCCAAGCTGGTTCCGACTAACATCAATTCTATTCCTGAATTCTGATTCAGCCAGACCAGCCAGCATATCTTCTAAACCTACATCTGGTAGGATCAACAGAAGTCTGGAAGTCTTGAAGTATCTTGGGTCCGATCCAACATTGTTTGCGTTCCTTTGTTAGGAGTTTTTTTTAGGATTTGACTGGTTAAGTTTTTGTGTTGGCCTGTCCAGCTCTCTGTGCCTGGCTATCTGCTCTGGCAGTATCCTTCTCTGCCTCCAGTGGACGCCGTGCTTCACCAGTGATCTTCTGCTCTGCCGCCAACTACACCTGTGAGAGCAGCAACTTCCTAACCAAATGTTATTTAGAGTAATGTAGAAACTTTTTCTACCCTCTGTAACTAAACAATAAAGAAAGAGATATCACCCCCAATGTATTTTGTATGCTTGACTGACTCAATTGAATGCCAGCCTATTTGTCTGTGCTGTGATTCATGGTAATTGCTCATATTGCAGTATTTTAATGCAACTATTTAACACCCCCCCCCCCTACTTAATTAATGGAATAATTCTGTAGCAATTACATCTTCATAATGACTAAAAGAATATTGGATACATGCCATTTAAATGAATGTGTCAGCATATAAGTGGTTTATAATTATCTAAGGAACAGTATGAGCTCATTAGGGTTCTCTGAGATTCACCCATTCACACACATATGTATACAGTGCATCTATGGGCAGCACTTTTTTCTATCAGGGGCCATGTGGGGTTCAGTTACTTGCCCAAGGAAACAGGGATCAAGCTCCAACCTTCTGTTTGGAGGACGACTGCTCTGTCCCTCAGCCACATCCCCCCCCCCCCTCTAGTTACTGCCACTTGATGCCAATGTTTAATATCAATATACAGATTTATCTCTTTCAAGAAATATTAACAAATACATGAAAACATGCACACGATTCACTCGAGCGAAGCTAATTTGAGTACTTTTGTTTGAACACAGAAGTCACGTGTAGCTATAACAGAACAACAACAACACAGTCTCACTTGTATGTAACCTACTGATGACTCACTTGTCATAATTCAGAATCCTTAACCATTTCTCAAAAATATGCCACAACCAAAAACAACCTGGATGGGTTTTGGAAAACATCATAAATAACTACTTCGGGGTAAATTACCTTCATTGTCATAGTTACGATGGCAAACACGTGATAGATTACAGAACGACTGTGGTATGGTTGAAAGAACCACTGACTCACCCATCCACCCTGACGTTCTCCCTACAGCCTCTTTTTGTCCCATCATAATTAGTGCAGTCACTAAATGGCATAATGGAACACGATAGGGCACTTAACAATGATGCACGACTCTGGGTTGTAAAGAGCTGCATACATAAACAACCTATGGGACCATTATCTATGGGAAGACAATTTTTCTTTGCCTGGTAAAATTGTTTTTGGCCACAGAAAATAGAAAATGGACGTCTCTGGGTCATGCATTGTAAATCACCTCACACACTTAAATGAAGCTATACTGTGACATTCCCGGTGCCTGCCTTCACATACGGTGTATAATGGCTTCCCGATAAGTAAGAACATTGGCCGGGGACGCGGTTAGAATTTCCAGGAGGCCGTTTCATACATGTCAGAAATTATATATTGAACATTCATCCATGAATACAATTGAATGTCTACGCTGCCTGTCTCTCATTCTCCTCCACTGCTGCCTGGCCTGCACTTTCCTTTCTCTGCCTGGGAACAATAAGTGGCACCAGCAACTCAATGTGATGAATCCTATCTCGCCCAACACATGCGCTCCTCCACTGCTGTACACATTGAGTGTATTGATCAGTAACCTTTGTTTCAGTATTTCAGACAAAAAAAGAAAAATCCAGGCTGGGAAGGAAAGCTTCTGGAAGGGTTTGAATTGTGAAGCACAGAATGGAGGAATTCTGTGGTGCAAATCTGTGGACAGTTTCAGCCAAAAGTGTGGGAGCTGTAACTTGCAGACGAACCAGTGCGTCAGTTCAAATTCAAATATTGAAGGAGGCTGAGAGGAGCACAGGAGGGATGAGCAAGGAACCATAGAAACAGTTATTACTGGTTTAAAGCTGCTACTTGTACGTTTTCTCTGCAGCTGGATTTGGTTTCTTGCTGGAAGCGGGTGGTGATGATGGCCGCTCGCCGAGAGCGTTTCCAAGACACACGTTTATAAAGCACCCTCTGAGCAGCGCTGCTTCTCCAGGACAGACTGGATGCTACAATCAGTGCATGTAAAGGCCCTAAAATCTTCTACCACTGCAGAGTATTACAATCTCCAGATCTTGAATGGGGTCACGTTAATAACCTATTCCATTCTACTGTTCTGATTTTGGCCTTTCTCCAAATTATGTATTTTCTGATGAAGACATGGGCCTGCTGATATTATCATTAGGGTGTCAGGAGCATTATTTGGTCATCGCATTCAGAATATCTCAACTGGGGGTTTTCCTCTTGTTATAATTGTGCAGAACAGTTGATGGATGAATTGGATATTAAAAGGTGAAGCTGTCGGGCAGATGTCAATCAGGTGTTTTACATGAATTAGAATATGAATGCTGAATGGAGATGGTAAGTTTTTTAAAACACTAAGTCGGCCGAAATTGAAATATTTTGTCAGTCAGGCCGGGAATAACTGGTTAGCGTGCTTTCTGCTAACTGCTTTCCACCACCGGAGACAACTCTTGACAACCAACGGAATTGTTATGTACCATCTTTAAAGCTTCAATCCAAACAATTCCTCATAATTATCCATTATATATAATTAAATCTGTGGTGTATGGGCCACATGTGGTGTGTGTATGTGTGTGTTTGTGTGTGATAACTATCAAGATAAATGCCATAAAGCTCATTTTGAGGAATTATTTATAATTATCACTTAGTTACACGCTCAGAATACTGTTGACCAAATTGGAGCCCACCTCAGAGCATATCCATGTTCCTTATACTTAACTGCTAAAATAGGTTTCCTTCTACAAATCTTTTCTAAATTAATATTCAAAAGGTTTCATCCGGTCATGTGTATTGTAAATATTACAATAATGAACTTAGTGACCTAACACTGATGCAGGTCTGTCAGTCAATTGGATTTGTATCATTGTCTTGATTTACCTGTAATTACAGTCGATAAAATAACCTAATAGCTTCAACCATCCACCAGTATTTAGCATGAGATCTCACTTTCAGGCTTCTAATGTTTTTTTTATCATCACTGTTCAAAGATGCATCAGAAAAAAGCAGCATGACAAACCAGTAGTTCTCCTGTAAGAAGTAAGGAGTCAGAACAGCTGCCACCCTGAAGGTCCGGGGCTGAAGTCATTCTCGAACTATACGATCTTTAACAAATCATAAATCTACAAAACGATTATATAAATGTGACTGGTCCAAGACACACTTGTTTATTTCTCTTCTCAGATCTGTGATATATTTAGCAAATCGTTTTGTGTTTCGTGATCTTTCAGGGAGAGAAGGTGCCAAAAACTGCTTTTTCTTATCAGCTTGTCAAGTGATTGTTGCTGTGACCTTCTATTAGTTCATGATGTCTGTGTTGAGGAGCCTCAGCACGAGTGTTATTGCATATTGTCCAGCTAATTTTCAACTATTTAACTCAAAGATTGCCGAACTGGCCGACGCTGAGGGACCAAAATATTCCATTAAGAGAAAATAACAAAACAAATCCAGCATATGTTAAATTAATTATGTGGTTTTTTTCCTTTGACCGTTGCATCCTAAAGTAACACCATGCTTTGTACTTGAAAGTCAATGCAACAAAAAACTTTCACTTCAGCATTCCGGTGGAATCTGTTGCGTAGTTCAGACTTACATTGGTATCTGAGCAGGACGGATCCGGCCTGAGACCTCTGGCTGTGGAAGCGGATGGAGATTTGATTGCTGTGGCTCCGTACCACCAACCCCCTCATCAGAATGGACTCGTTGGCCAGCATGGTGTTCTCCCCGTAGCCCACGTCTTCAAACGCCACCTTGTCGCCCTCAGATAGGTTCACATTCATCACCTGACAGAAAACAAAGAAGGCATTTGATTCTTTATATATGATGTAGACACGTTACGACAAAATAGGATAAAGATTCTGGGATGTAGAGTCGCTCAGAACTAGAAACAGGATACAAGACTCTGCCTCATGCCAGCTGAGGATGTTCGATCTCCCACAGGAGATTATCTCATTCTACTCTGGGTAGCATTAAAATTATAGTCCGGTTTTAAAAAGCTAGAGGTTTACAGAGTCAGTCATCAGGATCTCAGCAGACTGTTTTTACTTCTGATGTTCACACTGAAAGTTATAGGCTGTTAGTTCCACACCCTCAACACAAAGCAAGCTCCATCTACTGCGGAGGACGTGTGGATGTGGCTGAAACTACAGGGGAAAAGAACAAAGCATGGTTTGTTCTTCACATTGTGTAAATTCATTGTGAGCTAGTAAGAACTCAGCTAATTCATTCTAGTACTGAATGAAATATTTTCTGATTCACTAAGGGACTGTGCAGGTATGAACAGAAAACCAAAAATTACCATATCAGAAAGTCTCTTTACAAAAATTAAATGAGTAGAGAGCTGGCCAGAAAGTCGGCCTTTCCCCGCCTTCCATGCATATGTAAATTATATGTAAATTCCACTATTTACATAATGTGTATTTGTAGTCATGGTCGTTCACATCAAAATTGCACCCACGTAATTCTGGATACCTTCAATAGTGGCGTAAAGGCTGTGCACAGAGTTTATCAACCGCTGCGACTGCAGAGGGACACTTTTCTAATTTCAGATCAGACAACGTAACGCTGCTCTTGTGAAAAGGGCTTCAGGGCACAGGAGTGCCAGCCCTCACGGTTTCATTCTACCTAGTTTGTGATGAAGGGGTTATTACCCGCACAGTTCAAGGGCTCGTTGACCTCAGTGACCATGACCTTTGTGATTCAAGCTCCGTCTGTGACAAGTGTAGTGCAGTAACCGACAAACTGTTTTTATCACGAACATCTCAGCATGTTAAGTATAGGAACCCGTGTTTGAAGTGAGAAATATGAAAAAAAAAGCCAAAGGACGATGTGGAGTGATTACACAGCAGAAAGGCCTGATAATTATAACAGCTTGTCTCCTTCAGTGACGGCGCGTCTGGTGACGAATGTTGCTTTTATCAGCTTCTGTCACAGCAGGTGCATCTTTATTCAGGCGTTAAAAGGAACAAGGCTTCTTGACTTCACATGGTCCTCCGTAGATCATATCATGTGCGTCCCATCTCACCAAGCCGGGAGATTAATCCACAGCCCTCTGCTGAATGACACTTCTATTACGTGAATCTCCAAATCCGACTTCAGAGTGTTTCTAGGTGTGAACATTCAGATTATATATACGCACACACAGTCTAATTTAGAATACTACTGAATTATGATCTATCAGTATTCAAAGTCAAAGCTGTTATTCTGTTCCTCAAAATTATGTTTAGAAGTTTTTTTCCCCATGAAATAAAATCTCTTTTTGGCCTCAAAATGACTTGAGTGTAACTCTGCACCTTTGCCTCATTAGGTATTCATGGTCTTATGAATATGCAAATTGACACAATCTCTATCCCCACCCACCCTCAGCCGCTCGTCTGCAGCTCTGACTCAAACCTCTGCTCGTCTTTGTGTTGCTACTGTACGCTACACAATCGTGCCGATGTACTGTGAGAGAAATGCAGGCGACCTGTTAAAAGCGGAAGCGAAGACAAAGAAAATAATTGTGCAGAGAATGATAATATATTTTAATATATCGCTCTCTACAACATTCTCTCCGCTCCGCTCGACTATGTCATCAAAGAGCTGATGATGTGACGCTAACATTAGAACAACCTGGATCCCAACCACCAGCTCTGACTGAGCTACCTCGGTTAGCGGAGCTTGTAAAATTATGATAAATAGCGACACCTTTATTTAGCGGTTCGATCCCGGTCTTCTCCATACTGCAGGCCAACGTGTACTTGGGCAAGATACCGACACACAAAATTGTGTGAATGGCAAAAAACTGTAATGTAAAGTACTTTGAGTGGTAATCAAAGCTAAGAAACGCCCTGTACAAATACAGACAATTTATTTTACCGATGTTTCTCGTAATGTACAAAATAAATCCCATGAACAGCACGAAAAGAAATATGTTTTGTATCACCTACAGATACTGAGGGAGACTGTGTATATTCTTTTGCAGTGTTTCTGCGCTCAGGGACAACGAAGACAACAAAGACGTTCGCTCGGCCAAGAACGATTAAAACTCAATCTAGAAAACTGTGTAAACAAAATGTGGTTGACATTGTTGTATCATTGATTCTTGAATCGTGCTGTGAAATTGAAATAAAATGACTGCTTTAAAAAAAAAAAAAGGTTGGCACAGAGTTAAACTTAGCAGGGATGAATTTAAACTTAGCGTCAGAGTCCGGTGCAGAAGCAAGTGTTTTTATCTGGGATGAAATTGGATCACTTTAAAGACCATGAGTCGACGAGGCTTGTTTATAAAATAAAAACTGTGTAATCATGTTAAAAAATCGAGGTTGAATGATTTTCATTTCCCAGTTTAATTCTTAAAACAACCGCTCCAGTATCTTTTTTTTCATTTAAGACACATCACACCACTGCAGACAAACTCCAAATTCCATAATCAGGGTACGGAACGACCTCTCCTCATCTGTCATGTTGGAGGGACTGGGTCAACATCTTCTAATGACTCCACACCTTTCAGTCTCAGTGAGTTACCACTCTCATTGCTAGGTTTTAAGTTCAGAGCTGTTGTGTGAATGTGGTTAGCGTCACTTAGCAAAACAACTGGAGGCGGAGAGAAACTTTGCCTGTGTGTCTTTCCCCAACTGTCTCTATGAACCAGAGAAAAACTAAGCAAGGTCACAAACTCTTTCAAACAGACGAGTTCTTCTCTTCTTAAAAACACTGATTCTCATTCTCACACTTAAAGCTTAAAGTGTTTTCATCTATTAAACCATGGCCAAAGTTCCACACACGCGTTTTCATAAATAAGGGACGATGGTCAGAAAATAAAGTCAGACACTGAGTTTAGGTTACGTTGTCAAACTTATTCACACGTCTCCTCCGACAGCCTTGACACACGACCGCAGTTTAGCAGCCATGTTACAACTGTTGGTTTAAAGTGTGAAATGAAAGAGGAATTGATGCAACTTAACACTGGTTATATTACACTCAGCACATTAATCAATTATAGTGCACTTACACTGAAACTTTACTTGCAGCCCACGTACAGCAGGAGCCCATCCAGCCTGAACGCAACATGAATGACTCCCACTGTACCGCGCTGCCTTGTGTATAACAAGTCATAATGTGCCGTTAATGAACTCATGGACACAGCATCAGGATAATAGTGAAAAGCGGAACAAAGGGCATCGCAGAGTAATCACATTATGCCTTCAGCTCAGGGATAATAAAACACTTGAGGGAACATTGGGAGACATAATCCAATTTGCCCTGGCACCAGCCCAGCTTCTGTATAACTGTACCTTACAAACATAATCATGAGGGCTGCCCCCCCCCCGGCCTGGAAGAAGAGTTATTACTCGGACAACATAAAGGGAACGTAATAGATTTTGAAATCCGAATCACGTCGTTCATCATTTATGGAGAGAAATTAGACTCAAAATGGTCTTTTCTGTTTCGTGGCCCATGAATAATATGAAGATTCACAAACGTGTACAATGATGTATTTTGTGAATTTAAGGGTTCGACTCCTCAAGAGAGTATTTTTCTTAAGTGACGTGCTTCTGTAGGAAGTCAAAGAAAAACTTTCGATTTGATTTTATCCGGTGGTGATTTTGTCCTTTGTGCTTGTATCAGTCGGTACTTAGTTAGTGTAGCCTAGACTGAGCAGAGGTTGTGGGGCTGTGCGGCAGTGCAGAACCATGGTTTGATGGTGTGTGTGTTTATTCTTGTATTATTTATTTTTGTCTTACATTTTAATATTCTGTTGTGTGCTGTTTGACGGTGCTGGGGATCCAAGTAGAGTATGTCAACGGGTCTAGATTCTAGAAGGCTAAGTCATAGGGACATGGGGTCTATCTATCCATCCATCTCTATCTGAAGTGGGAGCATGGATTAAGATAGAGACAGAGCTCAGGGAACGACAGATGAAAAAAGAGAAGAGAGGAAAGAGAAATGTAAGTTGTACATATTTGGAATGCAGTCAGTTTACTATGAACCCCTAATCATCACATAATTAATCTATATTTCTGTACTGAATAAATAAACCCCTGTGCTAAAGGTTTAAAGAGAATCATCTGTAACATCAATTTACTTTATAAAAGCAACAAATGACAGTTAAATTACTCATCCGACACGACCTCGTTAAGTAGAAGCTGACAACTTTGAGGGACTGCATGGAGGATGTGTGTGTGTGTGTGTGTGTGTGTGTGTGTGTGTGTAGGAGATGGGTGAAGCAAACGCAGCAACACAAAGAAAGAGATGGGAAGAAATGAGGGGGAGAAGCAGCGTAAAGCAAAATCATGTCGACTGTCGTAGACTGTATTTCTGTGTTATATATTCTCCCTGTTCTCTACAGAGACACTTTGTTGATCTTGTTCTTTTGTGCAGACAGAGAGTCGGGGCCCAGCAGGGAATAAGGGGTCTATTTACCTCTAATTGCTCGCCTCCTTCAAAACATCACACCTTCTCCCTTTATCCCAAAAAAAATTATAATTGCTGAACCTTCAATTTAAATGCGTCAAGCTGTGTTTTATATATTCACTTAATATCACGACCCACATCATGACATGGGCTCAGTCTGCTTCATGTGTGTTCCTGGACCATGTTTACACTAACATGGCTGCCGCTTACACCGCGACCCCCCTCCCCCACATCGGACAGTCAGATCACCTTTCTTTGTTCCTCACCCCCAAATATTCACCCCTCATCAACCGTGTCAGGCCATCAGTGAGGACCATCAAGGTGTGGCCAGCAGAGACAGACTCTGTACTCCAGGACAGGTTTCAACACACAGACTGGAGTACGTTTG